ATAGATAGATAGATAGATAGATAGATAGATAGATAGATAGATAGATAGATAGATAGATAGATAGATAGATAGATTGACTGAAATAGTCAAGAACATTTGTGGGGGGTGGAGGTGGGGGTAAAAACGTTCTCACCAATTTAATTTCTAGTAAACAGGTGTTTTGGGATTAGCTAAACACTCCACAGCAACCATATTTTAAGAACATCCATGACATGCTCTCAAATTTCAAGTGTGCCTAGCAACCCAGAAGGTGGGAACCCCTGGGGTACCTAAGAGCATGTCTAACCATGCTGTCTTCTCAGAAGAGAGTTGGGTTACTTAAACTGAGAACCTGCAATAATTTGTTAGTTTTTCCTTCAGCACAAGAAGTTTTGTTTCCTGAAGCAAAGCAATGCTACTCTTCTTCACTATCATGATCAGCACTGTAAGAAGCATTGCTGCCCCACTCAGACCTCTATTCTTGCTTTTATTCATCTCCCCAACTTTCTCTGTCTCCCCCTGGTTGATGCCTTGCTATGTGGAAGAGCTTATCCTAACACTTATGGATGTATTATTAAACGGAAAGCCCAACTCACTGAGCAGCAAAGTGATTATCTTACAGAATCTGTAAGAAATTGAAATTGAAGTTGTGTGATAACAGATTTTGTTCATCTTGGTTCCCTTGTGGAAACTTGGAAGCCTATTGGGGCTGCAAAATAAGGCAGGGAGTGCAAGCAATCTGCAGCCCATAGCTTGTCCAGCTCTGAGCTGGAGTATTTCATCTTAGACCTTAGTGTTATGTATGAGAAGATTATTTGGACATTTTGATATGAAACCCCAAACCATCTGAAAACTATATTTTCTTTTCTTTTTTAAAGATTAGTCTGACATACATTCCCTGGTGATCTGTTTTAGGACTTTTCCAGTTTGAAACTGTTTGACACCAGTATATAACTGGCTAGAAATGAAGTGGGTTCAAGAAATCCCTTTCCAGATTTCAACCTCTTCCTCTGCTTTGGCCATAGCAATGGTCTATTCTGTCTTGACTTTGTTTACTACAGCCCCAGACTGTGGACTCTCCTCTCTTTATCCAGTTATTTTCCTTTCTGTGGGTGGGTATTTGAGGATATGTGGTTTCTATTGATAAACCTCTTGAATGATTCCATTGACTCCCACTCATACTTAACACCTTCCTACAGTAGTAGATCAATAAGGGAAAAGAAACACCACAATTTTATCATTTTCTCTGTCACTTGGACTAGAAGGAGAAACAGGCAGAACATTTGGGTCCATGACTCCACCAGAGAACTCATAAAGAAAGGTCTCAGCTGTTCAACATTCTATCAGTGAACCGGTTCAAAAAAAAAACTTATCCTTTTACCCTTTCATTGATGATTTTTTTAAAAAAAAAGTAAAAGTCCAAGCTTTTTTGCTTCATCAGTAATTAGGCATTGTTGAATTTTATATTTTATATTTAATAAAAATGTCAAGAGTTTTTAAAACATGCAACAGGAATACACGAATAACCCAACTGATACTTAGGGAAAAGCAGAGGAAATCTAGACTTTCCTGATAGTATCCCATCTTCCTCTCCATCATCATCATCATCATCATCATCATCATCATCATCTATAGGTTTTCACAGGTGTTATTTTACGGTAAAAGAGAGATTGTAATAAGCCTCTGTTTTACAAAAAAAAATACAAGTATAATATAAAAATGTTTTAAAAAGTATTGAAAACGAATATACTAGCTTATATCTTGTGCATAAAATTGATTTTTTTTTCACAGAAATCAAATCTAAAGCAAAATAAATATGTATTTTTAAGACATGCAAGACCAAACTTGGCTAGCCACAATCAGCTTGTTGATTCCCAGGTTTCATTGAGATTACTCACCTTGACCTCAGTCCATGAAAAATAAATTGGGTTGGTTAAAAAACAAACAGAAGGGAAAGAGAAAGAGAGAGAAATACACACACACAGACAAATAAAGGGGAACTTTATATATTCTTAAGAGATGGTAAAAAGGGAAAACACTTCGTACCATTATTCCTTTGGATACAATCTAGAGCCTGGGATGTGATAACATAATAAATCTGTTCCATTTCCAATTCACTGACAAAAGTAATCAGTTGTTGGTGAAACTGGCCATCCTGCTGAAGCTGTTCTCAATAATTCCTCCACTTGAGTGTACCACTTGAGATGACAATATTAAGGAAAATTGAAGCCTTTGATTTAAAAAAAATTATATGTGCCTATAATTTTTTTTCTAGAGAAGTCAGCTCAGTAATGTGAGTTTCTATCTTCATGCTAAAATATATGCAGCAATTTGTCACACATTGGCTTTGGGGGAAGATATGAAGGATTTACTTATCAAACTGATGCTTTTTAGGTAGAACTGGAAAGTTGCTTTCATGACAACTGTCATGACACTATTCTGACAACGTAGAATTATTTGGGGGAATTATTTTTCAGTCACCTACTCTTTTAAGACGTATCCAACTTATGATATCAAATGTGATTTACAGCTTGAAAGCCAGTTATGACTTCTGCAACTGAGTGTGCATGAATTTGAGTTTGAATTGTAGTCAAAGACTGATTAATCAGCAGTTTGTAATATTATTTAAAATTATGTGACAATGTAGCATAAAGGAAGAATATATTGTTTTTGAGAAAGAAATCTTCACCAAAATATCACAGCTGAGAGAGCTGAACACATTTATCAAACTTGTGTGTGGCTACATTGCAGCTAGTAGCTGCAGAAAAGCATTGCTATGTGAATGTTTTAACACAACCTTGGGAAAGATTACTTGGCTGAGCCCAGTATTACCTCCTCCTTGCAACTGTCCCAATCATTTTTTTCTTGTCATCTCCTTTTGGGCTTCATCTGCACCACCATCTAGGGGAACAATGGAAGGCAAATGGAAGCTGTTGTTTTTTGTTCTTTTTTCAGCTTGAAGCCTGAAAGAGAGCAAATGAACAGAAAGCAGGAAGAAGAACAAAGGATTTGTCTTGCAGTTTTCTAAGAACACTGACAAAGATGCTACCAATGGGGCAAACACGATTTAGCAAATATTGGGGAAAGAGATCAAGGAGGTTCTGGTGCCTACCCCCCCCCCCGCGCCGTGCAGAAAAAACATATGAGGAGCAGTTTCAGATCTCTGCAACCCTGCTCTTGATGTCTATTGTAGATATCCTTCTCAAAGTCCATGCTGCAGCAGAATAATTTCACGTTACTGTTTGGGTGTTCAAACACTGTGGGAAAGCCTATTCATACATACAACAGCATATACGGAGGACTTTTTTGCCCTGTGCCTAACTGCATGGGTTGATAGAAAAGTGTTTCCACTATAGATGCCAGCAAATAACATTCAATTTTGAAAATTGTATAAGAATAAACTCTGTGTTTTTTATGTTAAAAAATAAAATTCATACTTTTTTCTTCTCTTATTGCCATGCCCATCTCTAGAACTTCTTGCGTTGCCAGAACAACAAGACTAATTACAACCTAGTATGTGAGACATTACAATTTTTGGATTGTATTTGTGGAAGCACAACTGGAGGACTTGGACTTCTTGGGTTGTACATTAATGAGAAAAATGTAGCATTGATCAACCAGACTCTGGAAAGTTTGACAGAGTACTGCCAGGGACCATGTCATGAAAATCAGGTATTGCAGTTGGGGCAAACTGGAGACATGGCATAATTTGCAAATTGAGAGTCTGATTTGAATCCTGAGAATTCCTGTTAATGTTTTGGAATTTTTAAGTTTCATCTCACCCATGGTATTATGAAGAAAAAAATATGCATGTGGTTTTATGGATGTATAGTGTCAGTGGAGGCCCACCCACACTGAGGAATATGGCAGTGTTTGAAAGGTATGAATGGCTAGCATAGCCATAAGGGACAGGAGAATTATAGGCAAGCCTTGTTATACCATTATGGCCAAATTACAAATCCCTTTTGTGTCTGTGTGTGCACATGTGTACGCCTTCAAATCAACCTTGACTCTTGGCAACTGCTTGGACAAGTCCCTGCAGTTTTTTTGGCAACATTTTTGGAAGTGGTTTGCTTTTGTTCTCTTCTTCCTAGGGCTGAGAGAGTGTGACTGGCCCAAAATCATCTAGCTGCCTTCATGCCTAAGGTAGAATTAGAACTCACAGCCTCTGGGTTTCTAGCTTGGTGCCTTTAACCACTACATCAATCTGGCTCTTACAAATTTCATTGGGTACTGCTTTTCAGAAGTTCAAAATGACCACATAATTATTTTGTTATAGATAGTCATACACATATGCACACATGCATATTGACATCTACAACAATTATTTAGAAATGTTACTATAACACCACTACATATGCTGAATTGTGGCTCAGGTGCCTGTTTTGTTGAAGTTCCCCAGTCAAGAATATTTCAGGCTGCATTCTTCTCTGTTTTATGGTAAAAAAGTGACATCAAATAAATCTGTGATTACATTTATATTATCCCTTGAGTAAGCTAACAGCTTCCAAACTATTGCACAAACTGTTGAAAGCAACAGTAAAAATTCAAATGCTGTAATAAAAATGTGAGATCAAAATGTTAAAACATGAAATGAAAATTATCCTTGATCTATCCAGTTCTCCAATATGTTTTTTTTCACTGCAAGGTACTATAGCAATGTTTTCCAACCTTGGCAACTTCCAGATGTGTGGATTTCACCTCCGAGAATTTCCCAGCCATTGCTAACAATTCTGAGAGTTGGTCCACATATTTCATAGCTGAAATAATTAGGAAACACTAGCCTATGGAAGAGTCTTTTACATCTGTAAATTAATGGAACAGGAATAAAGTAATATATTATGGCATGTATATGTTGCGGTAGTCCCATTTTCTTCCAGCTGCTCTTTCTATAAGTGGGGAAAAGAACAATTATAAAAGTGGCAGCCAGTGGGCAGGGGATGAGAAGAACTTTCCCTCCTATTTTTGCACAATGACCTATGGATTATTTTTATAAAGTAATCACACCGTATACTGCTGTTAACTATTTGTTATCTTTTTCCACTACCCCACCTGTCACACAGAACTGCATTGCTACTCATGAGTCCAATGGTATTGATATAATTACAGCATTAATTCTCAATGACATCAACCCCCTGGGAAAAAAGAGGATGGATCTTGTATTAGAACTGAAGGCAAGTAGATACTTTAACAATGAAAATGGTCAATATCATAATAGCAAAGCAAACATTTCTGTTTAGAATGGTCTTGCAAGCTCTCAGTATCCCAAGAAGTTCATTGAGTGCCTGGGGCAAGGTAGCATGTAGAGGAGTTAAGTTTGAATAAAATTTAAATTACACTAAGTTAATTAAACTTGACCTAATGTAAATTCAAACCACGCAGTTCAATTAGTTTCTTGTATGTTTATTTAACTATAAAAAATGCAGTCTCCAAATTATGAAATTAAGGGAGCAAGGATAGTCATCATAACACGTCATGACTACTGTTTCCGAAACTATTACTGCTGTATCAGGTGGGTTTGACACATGCCTTGTAACTGAAAACTCTACAGAAAATATAGACATTGAGGAAGCAAGTAATGCAGGTCTGTAGATAAGAAAACAAACTGCAGTAAAACAATCTTCATGAAGTGATACTTTATGGCGAGATTGCAGTTTATATGTCAGATAGAGAACATTTATTTATTTATTTGTTTGTTTGTTTGTTTATTTATTTAATATGGCTGCCTGTGATGGAATGGAATTATGAAGGCCAGGCTCAGGGAGAAAAACATTTTCTTTCATCT